TCATCTCAAGCTTTCGTTAATGCTTCGGTGTGGCTTTGTAGGCAGGAAGCACAGTAAGAATAGTGCGGTCGGCATCTTCCCTGAGAGACCAACCAAACCCTCCTGGAGTGTGCTGAGCTGCCAGCTGGGGAATAAGTCTTTATTTGATTCTAGCAGTTGGCAATCAGAAGAATGGTGGCTGTAAAACAAACTGGAGACATCTTTGGGGAATATGGATTTAATAGTCCATATACAAATAGTCCATATACAAAAAGAGAGAGAGAGAGACTGTAGTTGCCAAATCGCTCAGTAGTGAAAACCTTCAAGTATCTGGAGTTGCGTAAGACCTATTATAACATAATGCTTGGACCGGAAAAAAAAGAACCTAAAATAAAAGTAACTGTTGTGACTTTTGTTTTGTGCCAATGGATTTATGGCATCAGAGCCTTCGACATAACATCTGTGTGTGCTGCCATTTGCCCTTTTAGTATTTTTCCAGCACTCCATAGGAAGAAGCACTTTGCAATTACTGGAAATGGCAAATGGCTTCTGTATCATTTCTTTATTTTTGGAAAGGACGTAAAACTGGAAATGTCCAGCTCATTGCCTAAAATGCATTCAGTCAATTGAGAATTTGCCTTGTTCACGCAAACACAGAGGGACTCCAGGTTTTCTCAAATGTAAGGCAAGAACAGACAGTATACATCCCGTTTTGCTGGTAGATCTTCACACCGTTTCCTTTCACTGTGTCTGCATATGAGCATTGGGGGGAGCACAGTAGGGAGCAGCATAAGAAGTTACCTGCATCTTAAAAACAATGAGATGTTTGCAGGTAACACAAGGAATTTTTGTCCCCCTATGTGTCATTCTACCTAAGATTAATTCACCAGGAGGTAAAATTTCTCTCTGCAGAATGTGTCCTTACCAATAGGCTGTTACCTGTATTCACCTTTTTTTGTAATAAATGAGGTAAGAGAACTACCCCACTCCTCAATGTAAGCTCCTGTCTTCTTCCAATTTAACATTTGATATTAGCTTTCAGGAAGATAATTTGTTTTGCTAAAATCTGTCAGGTAACAGTGGTTTGGACTTTTGAAAATCTGGGGTTTCTGACAGGGAATGTACGGCCATGAAAATTCCACATCCTTAAAAATAAATGGCCTAAAAGTTGAAGGCCAAAACCAGGCAGAGAATGGAGGGTTGTATTCACCTCCAGCGATGTGAACTGATCGCGTGTTGAAGTCTAGGAACCCTTCTCAATGCTTTACGGAGTGTCTCTTAGCTGGTGTCTTGTAAGAATCATTTAATGGAATTTTAGCTCCCTGTTTTATTTTACTGATACTTGTTTATTTTGCTGGCGACTGTTTGGAGTTGCTGAATGTAATGGTCAGTTCACACCAGTGGTGCTGTGCTCCTTGAAAAATCCAGTCTGGGGGTGTTGCACTGAAAAATCTTTGATGGAGTACAGTATGAATAAAGGAGCTACGCTTCTATTACCGTAGGCCTGGTTTTATAGCTGGAGATAAATATTTGTTCGTTGCCTATGAGGAAGCATTCTTGTTCAGGTGAGCCCAACTCATAATGCCGTAAACCGTCTTGTACCTCAGCCCGTAATTATAATCATATTTTTTTTCAGATACAAACCTTCCCAGCAAAGGTGTAGTTTTCTCCTGAATTGTCACTACAGTAAATAAAATTCAGCAGGGCAAACACATATTCTTGTGTGAGATTATTAGAAATGACCAATGACAAGTTTTTAGTTTACCTTTTTTATATCTGTCAATGAACCATCTGTTCATTAATTAATTTTTCATACCGCTAATGCACCAATCAAATCAGATTTAGGTCTTAACTAAAAAGGAAGTTTGGAGAAATTAAGTGTATGAGCTCTGTTACCAGACTTGCAAGCATGGAAGTATTTATATTAAATTTTCTTGACAAGGTCTTTTTCCCATAGAAGTGTATTGCCTGGTTTTGTTTATGATAATTTCCTTTGCACCTTTACAATATCTTTTAGTAATTCTGTTTTTATTATTTTGCCCCAAAGCAGTGGCAAGTGGCTTCGCATATAATGACCTTGTTTACCCTTTTGCAAATAGTAACAAAGTCTAATTATTTTCTTACCTACTCTCCAGATCTTACTGTCCTAAGAATGTCGTGTATATCTGCATGTGGCATAACAGCAGAAGACTGTAGGATGGCATTGGGACTTCCAAGCATCCTTCTGACACTAAATTATTATGCAGAAAAGATATATGTCCAGTAGAAAAGCTGTTGTAATCAGGCAGTGAAAATAAGTTTTACCAACACAGTCACCTTAAAGCCGCTGGTTATCAGTGTTTATTTTTTAAGCCCCTTTGTTTATTTGACCTCTTGTGTATGGTAGTATAAATAGGAAATAGTGGAATGTACATGTATTATTGTGCCGAGAAGTGCTTTCTCTGCGAGTTCAGCTATTTTGCGTAAATTCAGTTTTCTGCAATGCATGAAGATCAGATAGGAATGTTCAAATATTTAGAGAAAGTACTGTATAGTATGTTTATAATGAAACGTATTTTTTTCCTGTCCCATTTTTCTGCCATGACGGATGACTTCCCCCTTCCTAAGTATTCTAACTGTATGGTGTTACGTGTACAATAAATTTTCCTGGAACAGTAACCATCTGCTGAAATGGAAATTGCAATAAATGTCCTGACAGTGTTTTGAGAAACACAAGTTCCCCTTAAGGAGGGACCCTACACCTGCAAAAATACCCCACTTAACCAGAAAACACCCTACATCAATCTTTGATGTCAGCACTTTTCCTCAGCTTGATGGGAATTTCCTTGTGCCTTGAGAACGCAAAGCACTTTGCATCCCGGGCTTGGTTCTTCCTGGAATGGGTGTAGAACCAAAATCTTTTAGACTTTCCAGAAAGCAATAATGTTACAAAAACTGGTGCCAGGTGAGCTATATATGAATTGTACCATAGTTGACTTTATTTTCATTTATAGTTCTTATCAGATGGAACGCTACCAAGAAGTGTTTGGGACAGCAATGAATTGAGGGTGCTAATTTGATGTAGGGAGTGATCTACGTACCTAAACACAGGCATAGGCTATTTGAGACTCTGTGGTATCCACGACTTCTAACATAGCTAGGAGATATGGTACAGACCCAAGCCCTTCTGAAGCAGCAACTGAGGCCACATAGGATGCTGTAACCTGTCGTGCTGCATTCTTAAGTGTTAAGAGCTCTGTTTTTGCAAAACTAGATCAAAATGGGTTGGCCTAGGAAGAAACACATTATTCTCTAGGAAACAATAGACAATAGTGTGCAATCTCAGTCAAAACAAAAGTGTGGACTGTGGTTATGTCTAAGTGCAGTTAAATGACATGAGTACTTGGCTGAAAAACATTTCATTGGCAAGTTTAGTGTCATTGAGCCCCTTGCTGTGACCAGGAGAGATGAAAATACTAGCATTAGCCAGCAGAAAGAAATCTCAGCTGAAATTCAGTATTAGCAAAAAACAAGGAGAGATCTGATTGTATTTTGAACTATTTAAGTCAACAATATTAAACTGTATATCACATTAAAAGTATTGTTATATTCACTGAGAGCTCAATATTACTTATGCCGCTACACAAATTTGCTCTCAGTCCTCTTGTTCATATTGACCTGCTGAGCATTCTATTTATTTTTCCCTCATGTCTGTAGTAACATGTGTGATTCATTTCCATTCTATCTTTTCTGAATTTTGGACATCCACATTTCATTGCATAAATCCTTTAACTTTAGAGAGGAAAAAAATAAGTGTTTCTTTTCTTATAGTATCAAAGACTATAATCAAGAAAGGTGCCAAAATGCTTTCAAACTGGAAAAGTCCTCAGTGTGATATGTCTGTGTTCTGTTGTTATTCATCTTTCACACACTAAAAAAGGAAATTAAGTTAATGGAAAGTATGTGATATGACAGCAGTTGTTGCTATAATAATGTCGTACATACAAAGAATGTTGCTGAGGAAATTATTCCATACTATTTTTGAAAGGACTGTCAGTGCAATACCTTTTTTCCAAAGCGAAGGCCAATGATGCAGTATTGCTCTTTTGAAAAAAAAACCCAAAACCCACAAAAAAAACCCCTGACTTTTTACAGTAGTTATTTGAAACTTTTCCTTGGTTCTGAATTCGTTTTGGTATGAATTCAACAGGAAGAATAAATTCATCTCACCTCCAAAAATCTAGCATTCTACTTAAGCTGTGACTTCACAGCCAAGTTTAAATGTTTAGTCCTTTTAGTAGTTGTTTATATGAGTTCTTAACCTGTTATGTATGTAATACACAATTAAATCACAAGGGCAGTTGAACAACTTGTACTTGTTAGTGGATTAAAAGATTAACCTGCTGAAGGCAGCCAGTCTAACACCTATTCCCACTTATATTATTTAGATATTTCAAGTGATTTAATGACTAACTTGAGCCTCATCCTGATCCCCATCAGGGATGTAAATTTTATTTTATGTCCCGACCCTTCAAACAGAGAGGCAGTCACATATGCGTGAATATCATCACTTAAACTTCAGGTCAGTATAAAATCTGCCCCTGTGTATGAGCTTGCAGGACCTGCTGTATACTGAAATCATACAAATGAAATGAAACTGGTGTTGAAATAGGACTGAAATCCTAAATCAATTGCAGTGTATTGCTCTGTGTTGGCTGCTTTTCATGATGAACTCCTGAAAAACTAAAAAAGTTTTTGCTCAATCACCATTTATTTCTTTATATAAAAGTATTACTGAGACGGAGCTCCTTTGTATAGAACATTTTAAAAGCTAAAGGTGAAAGCCATTGAATATGTTTATCTATCTGCATCTTTTATTATCTCTCTCCCCACTCCCCCATATATATATGTATATATACACACACATACACAACATTAAATCTTTGTGTGGGCATACTCCATATTTCTTCTTGTTTATCAAACAACTTCTCTCATTTAAAGTGAACATTTGGTCATTCATTTTTTGATTAATTTTAATGTAGGAAATCTCCAACATCCACTTGCTCTAAAGAAGACCAGATGAAAGATGTCCTAGAATTAGGTAAGTTATGCCACGCGTCAGTTTGGCTTTTGCCATTGTATTCATCAGAGCAGCTGTAACCAAATACGTGCGAGTCCCTTCTTTTGTACCTCTTAGGTGATTCAAAGTAATTGCACTTGCTATTAACTTCTTGGATGAGACTGTGTAAAGGAGTCATTAAGAAGTAATCAAAAAAGGAGTGGCTGATGTATTTTCTATCTGTCCTTGCTGGCTGAAACTGTATTTTCTTTTTCATAAAGAAGGATGACAAGAAAACGTTAATTGTCGTATTGATGACCCCCTGGCACTAAGCCTTCTGGGGAATCAATTTGTTTCATTCAACGCATTATATGTTTTTGTTTTTTTTTCTTTCAGTTGATGTTGAAGAAGAAGAAACAACCGGAGAAGTTAGTAAGAACCCGTATCTTTCAACACTGCATATGCTTCAAGTAGTATCAAAACCAATTGATATTTCTCTTGCAAAAGTAAGACTATGATGGTATATTCAAATAGGTGTGTGAGAATGTTATTTCAGTTAAGTTAGCCAAAGCTGCAATGGATTCCTCTCTTGCATGTTTGCGTGGGATTTAACATGTGCTGTATTCATTCCTGAGTATATTCCTTATTTGGTATTCAGGTGAAAAATTAATATAGGGATGCCTGTCCATAATTCAGAAAGATACCAGAAGAGCATGCCAAAATGCACTTGGAGAACAGATAATAGCTTTAATTAATGAAGCTTGTATTATTTTCTTGATGCCTCTAGTCAGTTACTCATGTACTTGTTCTCCAGTCCTTTAAATTTGACAGTGGTTCAGAACAAGTTTATTATTCCCCTATCACTGTTTCTCCCTTGCGTATCTTCCATGTTTGAAGCAGACATGGAACCATTAAATACTTTTAATATTTTTCTTCCCATTCAGACAGAGGGGGAAAAAAACCAGAGAAAAGATAATGAGTATCTTCCAATTTCATTTCTAGATCAAAGAGGCCGGCGTAACTATGCAAACACGGAGCAGTCTGTTCTTATTTACTCAGCTTTACTTTAGCATGAACGCAATTTCTTCAGTTCAGCTATTGCTGAATAATAGTGGTCTGCAGTTGTTCAGGGCCAAGATCTGAATTTGGCATATGATGATATGCCATCAGTCAAGCATCTGAGTAACATTTATCTCATACTAGGAACTTTGACAGGCAAAACAGTCTGCCTTTTCTCCATACGTGCCCAGCGGGGTCCTTTTCTCCCTCATGTAAGCATTAGTAAGCGTTGCCCTTCTAGCTGTTAAATTTAAGGCAATATTCTGTCATGCTTTCATGGGAAACTCTGCCCCAGACGATCTGCATGAACAGTTTCCTGTGCTGAGCAGCACACAGCATTATGAGTTGAAGGAATACTGCAGGAAAAGGAAAAAATTGCTCGGTTTCATTGGAATGTTGCTATTTACAGTATATATAAAACAGAAAAGGGTGGCTGTAGTGAATTAGTCATTACCTTTCCACACTCCTCCTTTCTTTTCTACAAATTACTGCAAGAAAACATACCTGTGTTTTGGATTTGTTTTTAAAATGAGAACTTTTTTCTTTCCTTTTTTTTTTAATAGGAATTAAAGAATCTTTTGTTTGGCTCCAGTCTTTGTTGCTTCAGTGAAGAATGGAAAATACAGAGTTTTACATTTAATAACATACCTCAGTTAAAATATGGCATTGTGCAAAAAAAGGTACTGTAAATTACTTCCTTAAAAAAAAAAAAGTGATCTTTGCTTTTTACACTGAGTTTACAAAGGCTGTGTGTTTTAGCAGTAAAAAAAAGTCTTCTAAAGACTCTTCTCTTTCTTTAACTTCTCTGGTTACCACTGGATGATGTCACCTTGTCAAGTCTTGCTGGGAGACTTGAGATGGATGGAATATTTCTGAGGAAAACTTAAAAGTAGCTACAGAAAGTGTGCATGTGTGTGTGTGTGAGGGGAATTATTTGTAGGGAGGAAGACAAACCGCTTCAGCTGAAAGCTAGTAGTGGCAAAAGAGTAAAAGGACATAAATCAAGAGTGGAGTTTAAGAGAAAAGGGATATGTAGGGGCAATATTTAACAAGTTTAAGATGGAGCTTGATCTATCTCAAAATGGGGGGATGTAGCAAGAATTACCTGCAGTGCCTGGGAAATCACAAGGAGATTTTTGCCTCTTAAAGATATGGAGGTCACATGCTGAGGCTCATTCCTGAAATAAAAGGGAGAAAATGCCTCGGCAGCATCACTGGGGACTGCTGGTGGGACCCTTTTGCAGCCATGTTTCTGTAATTCTGGACTGCAGCCACGAGATGCCAGCTCCTCCCTAAACCAAGGTTTTCACCAGTTTCTAGGCATCATCTACCAAGTGGCCCTTTCTGAAGTCCCCGCCAGCTCCCTGTGATGACCAGAGCTGGTAAAACCACCATGCCATGACTAGGGTGAGCCTGGACACAACCCATAGAAATTTTTGGTGCTTACAAAGATCTCTCTGGTCTAGGGTGTTCAGTGGGAGACTCACTCATCTGGTGTCTGTCTTGTCAGCCTTGCCTGGGCATCTGACTCTTACAGACTGAGACTGCAGTGCTTCTGCTCCGTATGCCAGATGCAGTTGGTCAGCCTGCTTTCTCAGACTCAGACATGCAAGGGCACAGGATGTGTAGCTGCCTCCAAAACCAAACAGGTCCATTATAAAAATGCATCCTCCTCAGCTGCAGCTTAGTGCTTTTGTCTCTGCCCTGTGACTCTGTACATACGCTTCTGTGATATCCGTGCACCAGGTCTCGTCTATTAAAAGCAAGGATCTGAGGACTTCAGTAAAGACTAGGGAAGGAGTAGACTCCTCCTTACAAAAGACTCATCAGGCTTCTGCGCTGATGCAGAAAATCTTTATTTGGCCTGAGAGAAGCAGACCATTGCGTACTATACAGAAATGAGAGGAAGAGAGGCTTTGGGGCAAGGACAGTGGCTAATAAACATGTCATTAAGATGTTTAATTAACTTACCTTGTCTAGTTAAATATTTCATTAGGGTGAAGATCTCAGAAGAAAGCTGCTTATGTTTAAATAAAACCTAGCGGAAAAAAGATATTAAATGTTAATTTAAACTCTAAAAGGAGCCATGGCATTAATGTTCACTGGTCCACAGAAAATGTGTTGTTTCTTTGGTGTTTCCACACCCTGTTGCTAGAGAAAGGATCCCTCATCACTTCTAGCAAATCACTGGCCATTAAATTCCGCACTGTAAATTCCTCAACAGGAGCACCAGACTGTTCTACTTAGATGTGTTTATTTCAGAGAGATAATATGTTCCTCCTCACTTCCAAAATTCATTTCAGCTGAAACAATCGTTTAATTCTCTCCTATGTTAAGTTTCTGTGGTGCTATAAGAAGATACTTAGAATGGTTCCTATAATTTTTTTGACTGGGAGGCTTTCCCTGGTGGATTGAAATAAACCTTACTTTTTTCCTTAATGTATTTCAGACAATTCACTCATTAGTTATGTAAGTATATAATCGAGAGATTGTGTGTGTGTAATATAAATGAGAAAATGGAAGGTACCAATATCTAAGCTGTTTCCTGATTACAGAACCTTTATTTTCTAGGTTGCGTACTGTGCAAGGTCCCATTTCCTTTGGCTTGATGCTGTACTTAGGACAACCTGAGAATTGAACCGATCACTTTGGTCACATTGCTATTTGAAAGTAGCAATGCTGGCTGCACTTTTCATTCTCCTCCAGGGTTTTGAGAGGAGTTTGACAGGTCCTAAACTGAATCATCACAGCCTGGTCGTGATCTACAGAGGAAATCAGGGGTGCAACTGTAGTATATGATAGTGGTGCAATCCTGGGTTAATCTCATGCTATGGAGAGTGACAGCAGCGTAGCTTTGGCACAGGTTAAAATCAGAACACAGACTCTCCAGAAAACCTGCTGGGTGATCCATGCTTTCTTACCCTCATTGTTTTTCTAATTTTACCTGGGTGGACAAAGCTAACACTGATATGGGATGTTGGTTTAGATCATCACAGAATCATAGAATGGTTTGGGTTGGAAGGGACCTTAAAGATCATCTAGTTCCAACCCCCCTCCCATGGGCAGGGACACCTCCCACCAGCCCAGGTTGCTCCAAGCCCCATCCAACCTGACCTTGAACCCCTCCAGGGATGGGGCAGCCACAGCTTCTCTGGGCAATTTGTTCCAGTGCCTCACCACCCTCATAGTGAATTTTTTTTTCATGATATCTGTTCTAATCTAGATCTGTATTTGTTTGCATAATCTTAGAAGAGATTTAAAAAAACCTTTCCTTTGATGTTATAGATGTCTAGGCATTTTCAGGAAAAGTAGGTGGGAAACACAATACCAGTTAGTAACACTGATTTTGGTTGGCTTGCAAAAAAATAGAACAGCAGAGAGCACTACAAAGTCGTGGATGGAAAGAGAGAGATGAAAGAATGGCCTAAGCCTGAATGGAAGCACATGGCTTGCAAAAGTTTTCACCAGCATCAAACAGTGCAAATTATTTTGTTCATGGAGTGTCCCGTTATTCCCCTCAGGGTGGCCCATGTGGAGTTCTGGCTGCAGTTCAAGCTTGTGTCCTACAACAGCTTATTTTTGCAGACAGTAACAGGAATAAAGACACTCGGTAAGTCAGCAATTGACATCAGAAATGCTTTCCATACAGAAGTAAAAAATTTTTTTCTTTGCAGCAGCCACTCAGGAGCCTTTTGAGTTTGAACTTATTGAACTTCTCTTTGTCTCAGAGAGAGAAAGAAAGTAACATATGATTTACTTGTATTTACTTCCCTTTCAACTGTGGGAATTTAGAGGCTGGTGTTTTATTTGTATAATTACTTGCTTGTGATTAACCCAAGAACCTCTAAAAAATTGAACGGCTTGAATTGAGGCCAATGAAAATTATTTAACCTTGAGATCCCATGGAGATGTGATTTCAAAGGAAATGCAATCAGAGCTTGAAAGACTGTGAAATTCATGCAGTTTTTGACACTAAGAATCCCAGGGAGAGTAAAATATTAGAGTTATAGCTATTTTTTTTCCTTGCTACTGTGTTTGATCTTTCACATTTAAACTCCTTAATAGAATTTGAATTTAAATTCTGTGTCTGTATTTTCTACTTACTTAAATGGAATATTGTTAAGTATTGCTAGTGTCAAGGAAAATTGCTTGGACTGCTGTAATATTAACGTAGTTGTCACTTTGCTTGAAGGAACAGAACTTATTTAATGAAAGGCTGGAAAATAATGTCTACAAAATTTCTTTATTGCCAGACTTGTATTCGCCTTTTGTTTTCCATAAGAACTTAAATGCGTTACAAAAGAGAAATCTCGCAAAGCTTTCCTGTGCTTTATAGGTACAGTTTGTTGAATAGGGGTAACGGTATTTTACTGGTTTACCCTGCCACTGCCTTGTGCTATTTGTGGGTGATACACTGACCCCAGTTTAGTCAGAAAAAAGCTTTCATGCTGAGATTTTTCTTGAAGTTCATTACCTTACAATGTAAAAATGTTCATCATGTATAAAAATTTGACCTTAAATATACACTTTTCTGCTTTGAACTGTTTAGGAAAGTGACAGGGTCTCTGTTGATTTTCCTTAATTTTGTCTGACTGGCACTTAATGTAAATTCATTATTTGGGCTGTTTTCATCAATAACGGAGAGAAAAAGGCACTTGTAGAACATCGTTATTTGTCTTCAGCACCCAGGATGGGAGTTGAGAGTTAATTAAAGGATTACCAGGCCCTAGAGGGTCCACACAGGTGCCCAGGTCCAGGAGTACTAGTGGGTAAGCAGTCCTGGTACCATACACCTAGTAAGCCATTAGAAATGTTAAAAAACAGGCTTAGAGTCTAAATACAATACTGAAAGTTTTACTGTTACTACTACTATTGCTGTTGCCAGCTATTATTGGCACTGATTGCTTGCGGACCCCAAGACAAGAGCCAAATAAACAAGATGCTATGAATTCATCACTTGAAAGTTGCCTGTTCCTTGAAGTCACTTAAGGCAATTAGCATGGACTGATAAAGAGATAGGGACGGTGGTATAATATGTGTGCAGAGTGTAATGTCAAGGTAATTGTATGTTATGCAGTTTAGCTTTTTTCTTCTTCCGTTCAGTTCTTTCAGTCTGTAAGTCATACCAAGAGCCTGCTGTTCAGAGCACAATTTTTAAAAGTGCAAAAATTAGCTAGCAAAACTTTAGTATTCTCATTTAGATTATAATGAGAGTAGACTTTTCAAGGCAGAATGAGGCTTCTGTCCACATAAAAGAAAAAAATCAGAAACTTCTGTGGAAGAAAATCTGTACTTATTTAGATTCTATGAGAAAGAATCTCCACAGAATTCACTGAAGAATTATTTCTGGTTGTGAACACCAAGAATTTGTTTCGGCTTGGAGTATAGCCTTTGATCATCGGCTCCTTGGTCCCTTTGAGTCTTGGGTCATCCTTAGTAAAAATAGAGATGTTAACCTTTTCCTCTTTCAACATGGTTCAGTGATTGTAAATGTCATAAAATTGTGTGGCATCCAAATAAGTGGATTGAGGCCAGATTGTTTAAACTATAAGTGTCCCAACTCATGCCAGCTGCAACCTATCCTGTTTACTTGGCAATATTTGCCTCTCCTTTTTTTCCCATCCAGCTAAAAGATTTTGTTTTTACGTATTTTGTATATGAAAAATGCTGCTGAAGTATGCAGAAAGTCTCCAAGGAATTTCAGGTTAGCTGGTGAGCTCTTCGTCTTTATGCACAGAAATGCTAAAAGCCTCCAGGCTCCTAAAAATGAATAGCAAGATGGACTGTTTTATTCATGAGATAAACATATTTTTCTTATGATGTGTTTGCCATGGGCAGAAACTCTTAGTCAGGCAGAAAGAAAGAGAAGTCTCAGAGCTTGAAATGAGAGGATTAATATTCCTTTCTAATTCTAACCTGAGTTTTCAAATTATTAGTCACTTCACAATAAGTGTCTCACTTCAGGCTTCTTCGACATTCAAGAAATAATTATCATGTCTCCTTACTCCGCTGCCTCTCTCAGACACACAAATTAGTTGCTATGCTTCCCATAAATTCCTGAGTGTCTGTATTAGAACACAGGCAGAGATAAGAGAAAGTTGTGATTCTATTTTCTTTACTTGAAAACTCTCACCAATTATTTCCCATATCTCACATCCTTCAGAGAGGGAAGCATTCTCTAAATGAACATTATATTCAAGGCAGACATTGAACTTGAAAGTCTGTTTAATTTTTTGATGTTTGGTGTTTCTTGTTTAGTCTTTTGAATTATTAGATCTTTTACTCAAGTTCTGGGAACAGGTTTTGACATCATCTCCCATGCTGGTAACACTATAAGGCTGATAATATCTGAATTTCAAAGACTGCCATTCTTGAAGCCACTAGAGAAAATTCCAGTTCTGAGCCTCCCAGGGGCGTGGATCTGTTGTCCACTTCTTCAGGCTCATAGATGTTGGATTTTATTCTTAAATCTACCAGTTTTCCCTTATATGACTTTTGGCCTCATAGTCCTTTATTTCTCCATTCACATCTTGGAAATCAGAGTAACAGGAGGTATTAGAAGACTTCACAAAGTACAGTTTGTAGGAAATGTGTTGACAGTGTTGCTTTCCTGTTTGGGACATATAGACTACTGTAAACATTCCATAGTTTTGCAAATCATTGTGTAATTTCCAAGCCAAGCATTTAAGTGAAACTGTTTCAGAAACAGTGGGGCTGCACAGACCAATACTGGGTCGGTTACCATGTTTTAGGTCACCACTTTGAGACATACCTTATTAAAAAAATGCAAGTATAGTGTTTATTGCAGATGATACTTTAGATAAAGTTTAGTAGTAGGTAAGAACGTTGTGGTGTAGATTTGTATATAAGAGTTAAGAAATAATAAATTAAGTATGAAGGCCTTTATAAACTAAAAATCATATTCAATATATTAAAAAATCCTGTTGAAGAATATTAAAACTAATTTATTACAGATTTAAAGATGGATTAGATTCTCTTGTCTGTTATTTGCCAATGCAGTATTGTTCCCTAATGCACATTTACCTGTTTTTTTGTCCAACCAATTATTGTTGTCCAACCAATATATGTATTCTGAAACAGCATCCACACTTTCTTTCAGAAGATTAGTTTTCAGGGTATGATTATAGATCTGTGTATGATCAGTGCCTGTTGCTGATCACAATTTAGTCTTTTCTTGATTTTGGTCCATTGCTCTTAACGATAACAATCATTCCTTATAAATCAGACACCATCTTTAGTATTCATCTCCTAGAATTGGAAGTTGTGCATATCATCTCTTAGATTGACCTGTATTACACGTGTATTGTCATAGAAGATACAGACACAGGCTAGCAAGCTTACCATTGCTGAGCTTAAGTACCCATAACAGCAGTTTAACCATCACTATGAGCAGCAGAAGCTCATCCAGATCCCCCAAAATGCAACACGCTCCTGTTAACACTTGACCTAGATGAATGAACTTCCCTCAAATTTCTGTTTTGTTTCTGACTTCAGAAGAGACCTACCCACTGTGCCGAGAGTTTTACTGGCAACCTAAAGAGGAGGTTGTTCTAGATACAGCTCTATTCACCGGATCTGATTATTTTCAGTAACATCCGAGGTACCTTCTTAAATGCCTAAAATAAGATTTAAGGTGGTCCACCCCAAAGAATGTTTCCAGAAAGCCCATATTTCAGTGGTGACTTCAGTTACATCTCTCTCTTTAGAGCTCTTTAGGTGCTGAACAGCAGCACTACATCCTCCTATCACCTATCACCTCCTATCACCTTCAGTCCAGTGCTGAGAAGCGTTCATACTGTGTGCGCAGTGAGTGCTTTCATGGCATTTTATTCAGATGTTTGATCTTCAGAAAAAGGTCAGATTCCACTGTGCCTTTATACCTGGTGTGTCAGTAACAATACAAGCGCCCTGTTCAACTTACAGGACTTTTTTGTGTTGGCCAACCAAGTTGTCTCTATCTTGACTATAGAAGGAACTGAGATACCTAAATGATAATTTTCTGAGGCAACTTTCCAGAGCCTCATTATTAGGCATTACTATAGTCTCTAAAAAAAATGCTTTTGTTCTTTTAGCTAAAAACCTGCTATGAATCTGCCTATACCATAACTGGGGCAGTTTGCCCTCTATTAAGTAAGCTTCTCAATGCTCATTTTGGTACTCGTGTGTTTCTTGCATTTCCTGGACTGCAGTTGTCTTCAGCCTTCAGAAGTTCACAGGACCAAATGCCTCACCATGGCTATTGCAGACATACTGTGGCGTGCGGGAGGCAATGAAAAAGCAATTGTGGCACTGTAAGTAGGAGAAGCAGTTTTAGTTATTGTACGATGCTCCTATACTTGTGTCTCATAGATGCACATAGTTCAGAAAATTAAAATTTTGTAAGATGTATTTATGCAGTCTAAAATGGCTCAGGGAGAAATGCAAAATGTCATTTGTGCTGTCCCAGTAGCTGGGACAAAATAGTCAAATTCTTTGAAACTGCTGTGAAAGATCCTTTCATTTAGGCTAGGATTCCTTCAAAATCTTTACCAAGAGTTATTTTTCCAGATGCAGCATTTTACTCCAACAATTTTGTATTGCAGGATATTCTGTTATGGCTGGGATTAATTTCCTTTTGCTGTAGCTGCCTTCTAGTTACTTAGTTTATGCTATGCAATTAGGCTGCTTGTACACAGCACATGTAACTTTTAGATAGCTAGCTTTGGCTCTACTGGATCTTACGCGATATTTTCAAGTGAGCCAGGTTTTGTGAGAATAGGTCATTTCTTTTATTAGGTAGACTAAGATAGCTGAAAAATAACAGAGAAGCTTTTGGGCACAGAAATTCTTCTTCAAACCTGAAATAGAAGCAGCAAATTCAAAGACATTTCAAATTATATTTTGCATCTATAAAATGCTTCATCTGTGATGCTATTGTACATATGTTCTACTGCTTGTTTTAATGTCATTGCTCTAATATTCTTTTCCAATAAAAAGTGTCATTAGCATCTAAAACTTATATTTATCCTCTTTCTGTGTAGAGAAACTTATAATTCACATTAAATAGACTGAGAGGGCACAGCACAGCTAAAGTATATGCTTTATCGGTAAAAGTTTGTTTAATATGTAATAAAAAATTATTATGCAAGAGGTGCTTTTTTAAAAAAGGGGTTAAAAATAATAATACAAAATCTTTGACTCATCATTGTTCATATAACATGTTGTTTTCTCTTTAATGCCATTTTGTTCCTTTTAACATGAGGTTTGGTTTTGTCTGAATATCCTCTTCAGGCCATCAGGAAGACAGCAGTTCACTCCCGTAGGAAAATACAAGGCAGATGGAATCTTGGAAACTGTAAGGCTCTGTGTAACTCACAGTAACATTCTCCATATATCCTTTTTCTGGCTTTTCTTATTTTAGTACAATGAATTAGATTTCCATTCCTCTCTTAGTGTTTTAAAATATTTTATGTTAAATTAGTTATTTTCATCCAAAACCCAATAGGAAATAACAAAGTCCTGTAGTCTGTCTGGCTCTGACTTGTCGTGGTGTCTGTGGGCAATTGGGCTTTCTGAAGTCCTTTTTGTTCCCTCTACCTTTCAAGCTTATAAACTGTCTACTTTTACTGGTACGCAGTAAAGGTGAACACAGATCCTTTCAAGTTGACCAGTATGGCCATGAGCACCGAAAGATAGTGTTTTCTTCTTGTCTCACACAGAATTCTTTGCCCTTTTTTTTTTTCATCCAGAAGCTCCAAATGGCAAAAAACTTTCCAGTTATGCCTTTATTTCCATCTGAAGCTCTCAAATGGCTTTGCAAACACTGATCCCATAAGCCAGGCTTTAGTGGTTTAAGGAAATATTACTGGCCTCCTACATGGAGGAATGGATGTGTCAACAACTTTTCAGAACCAGACAGTTTGGGAACAATTGGAAGTGAAAACCTGTGTAAATAGGGTGAATACAGCAGAAAACCTTGGCTACAACGTGCTCTTCCAAGAGACGAGATAGATTATTTAATTAATATGTTAACATAGTTCTAAGCTGCTGGCTGTTTCTGAGTAGAACTGACACCATCGTGCTGCCTCTAAGTACTGCATGTCAAAGGTCATGTGGATGTAGCCAATGTGATGGAAAGGGATATAATCCAGACTGCTTGGTTTTTCCTCACACAGCATTCTCAAGACTGTAATTTCTGTCAAAAGCTGAAGATGGAAACAAAGACAATGTTGAAATAAGGGCCTGTATCTGTAAACTCTCCTGAACTTCATGTTAAACAGGAGTATTCATGGGAGTATTCTCTGAATACAATTAGAAGTGCTCAGATACATGCCTGCTATAGATGGCTCACCAAATAGGTACAAACTCCTGAGCTACTTGCCCATTCTATGTCTCATAAAGCTGCACTATTCCTATGTTTATTCTAGGAATTAATTTTAATTGCATAAACAATGCTTAAAATTGAACCAAACTGTCTGTTCAACAAACTTAACAACAAGAAGCAGTATTTAAAAATTCAGAATATATGAAGTGCTGAGGTGCAATATTATACCAAGTCACAACAGTAAGAGGTAGATTTCATTAGATCTTTATTCAATTTTGTTAGTTCAGTTCTTTCCAGTCAGATTTAAAGTTTTGTCCAATTTAGTTCAGCTTTCACGTTATAAAACATGAGTTATTATTGTTTCAGTTACTTTTTTTTCTTCTTACATTTCTTCCCAGCTAATACTACATAGTGCCACAAGATATGAAGATCTGATTGTGTTTCTTCAGCAGAATATTCGCCAGGTACTGTGTATAGAGAAGATACTAAACCTGTTATGGTTCAGCTGCCAGTTTTTCTGTGTTTACCAGTCTCACATGATATCTTCCGAATGCTGTTTCATATGCTGTATGGACGTGTCTTGCCCTTTAACAAACAGAGCAACAAATTCACTTTTAGCATGAACAAGAACAATTCTTCCTGCTTTCTGTTCGATTTGCGTTTCTTTAGGATTGGGCAGAAAATGTACACAACAAACAAAATAAAACCAGTCCTTTTCGTTTTCAGTTTGAGACTGGTCCCTGTGGGTGCATCCTTCTGACTGTTTCTGTCATCTTATCAAGATCTATCAATCTGTGAGTATCTTTGCATCCCTGTTTCATAAACTGCAAAGCAAACAAACTGTGCATAGTGAGGAAACAGCCATGATGTACTTAACTCTCTCTCCTTTTTAATCCATCTTGATGTTTACTCCAGTAAATACAGGGAAGTTATGCAGATTTACTCACCTAATCTTAGATATTTTTTGTTGCATAAAGACACACACACACATATATATGCTGTTAAAGTGGCAGTGATCAGCCCACCGTATCTGATACAAATGACTCCATCTAAACATTAGGCATCAGGTGTAAGGTAGTTGGCTATGCTCCCTGTCTTGACAGCTGAAAGCAAGACTTCTTTAGAGGGTTATTTATTTCACATACTTTAGGTATCGGTCTCAGGTCGGGATGAATAACTTGTGATGCCCCAACCTCTCCATCAATGCTAATGATAAAGAAAGGCTAATATGAAATAAAAGGATTAGGCAGCTAATTTTTAGATGGTTTTAAGTAAGCATCCTGGTATGACAAATCTGGTCTCAGTTTATTGGTGTAATAAATATGCTGAACTCTAACTAAGGGATAGTCTTTATAGCCTTTTTTAAAAAGTAATTGAGGCTTGCCCAAGCACAGTTGTAGTTAATTGTGCTTTTATACAGATCAAACATATTTCTGTGGTGCTGTGGCTATAGGAGCAGGTCAGAATATAAAAGCTTTCTTCATTTTGTCAAATTCCACTTCTGTAAAAATCTCCTAGTCAAAAGAACTGTTCCCTGACAACTTGCAATAACAGCTGACATGAAGAGAGCAGCTGCACTTGATAGCAGCACAGGTATGATTTATGTAAACGTTTATTCCTTAAATCTCTGGATGGTCTTGAAAATAATAGCAACTTAGTCCAAATTTATGATACGCATTTGGTTGCTCACCTACTTAAGAGTCCTACTAGTGTTTGCAGATTGTTTTTTGTTTTTGTTGTTATTTCTTCCTTTCTTTTGCTTACAGTAACACTACAGGCCATTGGCTTAACTCCACTTTAACACAAATGATGTGGTAATTTATAGCATATGTCATTTATTCTCAGTTTTCTGAGCTAATTACAGCAGAGACGTCCAGTTTAGTAAGGGTATTTGAGAAAGTAATGATATATTTGGCATTTTGTAGGATCACCAAAAGCAGGAAT